TGTCAATGTTTTCAAAATTATTGATTTTTTAAATGATTATTATTACAACCATCATTCTAGATACTGCTACATGAGACGTTATAATTACTGTAAACCTGTGAAAACATGTTCGATTCCTGTCCACTGTACAAAAGAATTAAATGAGAACAAATCTGAAAAGACGTAGACAATCTCGTATTACCTAGACACCTAATACACTGTAATCCAAACCTCACTCAGGGCCAGTTTTTTAACCAGTGATGTGTCAGGATCACATTCACACACTGTTACATCATGATGAATACATATCACATGGAATTCTATTATCTTCAGGTATTAAACCACTATATGTTCTATACAGCTATCAGTCGAATTACTAGCCATCCTCACATTTATACAAATAGTGCCTGGCAGCGTAGACACAATCAACCCGGTTTAACAGACTACCTTATTTAGTGCACGCTAACACTATGGTTAGAATTGATGCTCCTCCTTAGAGCTAATCCCCTGTTACAAAGAGTCCCAAGGGTTACTACAGAAGCACCAATAAAGGTTTTCTTTCCACAGCAAAGAACTGTGGACAATAATTAAGAGCTGGTACCTGCAAAAACCAGTTGTGACTCCATTACTCCAAGAGGAGGGCAAGTAAATCCATTGCAGGTAATCCAAGAATTCTGATGTGGAATATTTAAAATGTACTGCTTGGTAGACTAATATATTATTTTATAGATGCCTGTTTAAGAGGGCAGTGCCTGTCTGTCTAGGATCCTATGTAAATATATTTTATATCTTTCAGCAACCACAAATAAGACTGCTCCATGGCATTAAGGTAAGCAGATGAACCTGTCAAGTTTTGGGGTGAATGGGCTAAGGAGGTGGGACACTGAAAAAGGGTACATTGTCACAACAGAAAGTCTTGTTTATCCCAAAAGCATCAAAGCAGGTTGGGTAATGCAAAAAAACAAGATCAGGAAGGCAAAAAGTCAGTGCTGGTGGCACAGATTACAGTCAAGAGCAAGCAATCAGCACACAGGAAATCACTGAATGAGCGTTGTCTGTGTCACACAGGTTTACACACACGTAATATATTAAAAAATAGTACAAGCGCTAATAATCCAACTAACAAGATAAATATAGACAGCAAACACTGATAAAAAGGGATACTCTCAATTCCATGAAGGATAAAGGAGCAAAATATAATGTAACTAGTACAGGTTGCACCAAAATATAAGAAAATAGGAAAATTCTGGAAAAAGGACCAAAATATTCACAGTACTGCCAGGTGGTATTGCTTCGTGCTTTGGTGTTTCATGGACACATGAAAAACTCAACTAATACCTGAGCAGGGAACTGAGTGAAAGAATACTTTTATAAGATGGTGGGAGGTGACACGCCTACTAAGGGAAATGTCAGAGCATCTATAGTACTGGGGAGTGACAACAAGTCTACACACTGCCAGCAAATGTACACCATGATGGTTGCCACCTTAAAACCTTTTTTAATATGCTAATCCTTTAATCAAGTATTGAAAGGAAATAGATTTGTTTAATTAAATGAAGTAATTAGGAAATCTTGTCCCTGCCTTTAGAGTATGACAGGATCCTTCAGCCATATACATTCACCTTGCGTCAAAAAGTATTTCACAGTTATTCACTAAAGTCTTAGTGGCCATGTACTGAATGGGACAAAAAACATCCATCTGCGTTCGTAGCTATCTGGACTGCAATAACTGGATTTTTCAATTCAGACCCTAAGCAGGACAGATTTTTTCCCAGATTTCAGTTGCACTGAACACCTAGTCTGAATGCTTCAAATCTGGTCACAGATTATAAATAATCTGAACTATTAGCAAAAACACACAGTGGCAAGAGGGTCAATTATATGGGAGGACTAAGCCCACCTCCTTAATATTATTCATGTGGAATGCCGAATGGGCAAAAAAGCAAGTAAATTATATTTTGCAAATGTGCATACTGCTGGGTGCATTCTGTTCCGTATTCTGTAAAACCGGTGCTTTGTGAATATTTTGAATCTTATAATTGTAGGCCAACCACACCGACCATATTTGGCTTTAGTAACGCTGCAAAATAGATTTGCCACTTGGCAGATTAGTCAGGTACTACAGGTGCCTATTTATTAAGGATGCCTACCCAGACTACAAATGTGTGCTTTTTTCCTGTTTAATATTGCTACCTGGTAACTGCTTTTTTCATGGAGGGAATAAGAGATGCACTTAGTGAGTCTTTCAAAACTTTTACTAGGCAACAAATGACTGTTTTTTTTGCAGGAGATGTAGAGTGTGCCTCACAATTTTATACCTACAGACACCTGAGATGTAAACCTGGCCCTCTGTGTTGGTGGCAAACAAATTTATTGTATTTTTTTAAATCTGTGGGACAGGTGCTGCCTGAGAAACTGAATCTGAATTCAGAACTGAGTTTCACTAAAAGAAATGTCAGTTCATTTGAGCTAGGCCGGCATTACATTTGTTTGTCTAATTTGTTTTGTCATAATTACTTGTTTCTTTTCAAACCCTTAGGACAGTTGCATTATCTATCGGTTCTTTATAAATTGAAAAAAATTATAAATTAGATCTCATCTCTGTCTTGTTTGCGTTCTTGTTGACTAGGGCTACCACTTTACAATTTATTTATTTTGGCGTGCTTATGAATACTACATTTTGTGGGAAAAGAGCTTGAAAGTGCTCTCCTGAATAAAAGTCAAATTCATATGCTTTCATTGTGAAATGTGATTATTTGGGATTGTAGTTTTGAATAATGAATTAATTTCACAATGAGAGCATAATAGGTCCACATTCTTTAGTGTGACTGTAACGGATCACCTGGCACCCCGACTGGGTACCTCCGTTGAAGGATGCTCCTAGCGCTTCCTGAGGACTCCAAGCACTGCAGCAGACACCACAACCACCGAACCGGAGAAGCATACGAATGCTCTCAAGCATCTGAATGCTGTAAGCAGCTGAACAGGAAAAGCATACAATCAGCTTACACTCCTGGCAATCAGCATACAATCCAATTCCCCCAATAACGAGACGACACTTTGTTTTGAGGGTCAAGCAGAACTGACTGTACTGGCACATACAGCCTCTTTTATTCACAATCCACAAGTACTGCCCACAGGGTTTTGAAATACAACCAATCAATCCTTACAATACACACAGACCCTCCCACACAAAATCCCCCCCTCTGCCTGTGATATGATTACTGGACACAATGGTTAATATAATTATCATAGGCAGAGAAATACAGTATTATAAAACATATCACAGGGACCCCAAAACATGCAATAACCCCATAAAATATATCCTCGGAACTGGGGGATCTGGGTGAACCACATATCCAAAATTCACCCAAATCCGTTCAGTAGTTGGGAAGATGCAGTTTAATGCAGATTCCGCAGAACATATACAGGCTATATGAAAAATATTTACTGTATAACATGTCCCCTGTTGTATAGTTTAAAACTACTGAACGATGTCTTCGTGCACCAAATACTGGCGAGATGGCACCGTGTAGAAAAGTCCAAACAGTGTCTGTGAGTTAAAATGGCCGCCATCCATTGTTCTCACCCAGGGCCAGATTAAGAGCCACGTGGGCCTGGTGCTGACAATTATGACGGGCCTAATTAAAGAATCATATCGACCAAAACCAGTAAAACACTCCCAAGCATCATGTATCTGATGGAGATGGTGCTGGAGAGAAAGAAAACAGCAGCTATAAGAAAACACATACCCTAGGCTAATCTCTCTCTAATTTATGTTTTCATCTTTCAAGTAAATCCATAACCCCTAACAGCAGTGTTCAGTCAAGCAGGAAGTCAATGGGCTGGGTAAAAGGGTGTGCCACTGACACAAATCACGTAACCTGCCAAAAGGGGCGTACATGCCCAAAAAGAGGACATGTCTGCTCAAAGAATTAGAAGGCCAGCCTGGCATGAATGCATGTCAGGCTGCCTGCCAATCATGCAGCTGGCCAACTAAGGGCATACTATGCAGACAGCACCCTGAGCTTGGCATAAATGCATCTAATGATGCGCTCACTCAATGCTTTCTAAGGACTGTCCCCTAGCACTCGCTAGTCCACTTGTCTCCTTACCTTCTTACTAGCAGGCAGAAGCTCCTGGTATATGGTCTGGGACAGAGAAAAGCTGTATGTAGTGAGTGTAGAAGAAATGGAACATGCCACAGTGTTAGAGAGACCAAAGTCAGCAGTACCTTAAAGGATCACTATAGGGTCAGGAACACAAACATGAATTCATGACCCTATAGTGTTAACACCACCATCTAGCCCCCCTGGGCCCCTCATGCCTCCATAAATATAGCAAAATCTTACTATATTCAAGCCGAAGCTGTAACTCTGCATGCTGTTAGACTCATAAAAACAAGCAGTCTGCTGACATCATTAGAAGTGGTGGCCTAATCCAATCATAGTGCTTCCCCATAGGATTGGCTGAGACTGACAAAGAGGCAGATCAGGGTCAGAGCCAGCATGATTCAAACACAGCCCTGGCCAATCAGCATCTCCTTATATAGATGAATTTAATTAATGAATCTCTATGAGGAAAGTTCAGTGTCTGCATGCAGAGGGAGGAGACACTGAATGTTTGGATGCATTTTAGGCAGCCATGACCCAGGAAGGATCTCTAACAGTCATCTAAGGAGTGGCCAGTGAAGTTATCACTAGGATGTAATGTAAAGACTGCATTTTCTCTGAAAAGACAGTGTTTACAGCAAAAAGCCTGACGGTAATGATTCTACTCACCAGAACAAATTCAATAAGCTGTAGTTGTTCTGGTGACTATAGTGTCCCTTTAACTATATTCATTGTCAGCTAGTCCACACAAGTTTTGTTCCCATACATCCCACTTAAGTTTCCATAGTTAAGTAAGAGTATGTGAAAAGTAGTTAGGGTTGCCACCTTTCTTGGAAAAAAAAAGGAGTGACATAAGAGAAAATGCTGTAAAATCACCAAAAAAAAACTATTAGTTTGATTCTGCTGTATAGATGGATTCCTCCCAGTGCCCCCGTGTCTCCCAGTGCCCCCATGACTCAGTGCCCCCATGTGTCCCTATGTATCAGTGTCTCAGTGCCCCATGTCTCCCAGTGTCCCCTTGTGTCGTGTCCCCAGATCTCCCAGTGATCCTGTGTATCACAGTGTCTCAATGCCCCATGTCTCCCTGTGTCCCCATGTATCCCAGGGTCACCATGTCACTAGGACACTAGGAAGACGGGGAGACCTGGGGACATGGGGAGACCTAGGGACACAGAGACACAAGTGACACTGAGAGACTAGGGGACTCTGGCTGGGACACATGGGGACAATGGGAAAATAAGGGACACTTGAAGACATGGGGACACAGACACCAGGGACACAGACACTAGAGACACTGGCTGGGGGACATTGAGACATGGGGACACTGAGACACCAGGGCCACAGACACAAGGGACACTAGCTTGGAGACATGGGGACATTGTGACACTTTAGGCAATGAGAGACATGGAAGCACTATTAGACATGGGGACAGTGAGACACTGGCAGACTGGGAGACTAGGGGTCACTGGGAGACAAGGGGACACTGAGACACCAGGGACACTGGCTGGGCTGTGTCCCCATGTGTCTGTGTCATAATATCTCCCAATGCCCCTTAGTGTCTCAGTGTCTGCCATAATATCTCCCAGTGCCCCTTAGTGTCTGCTTAATTCTAGTGTCTGCCATAATGTCTCCCAGTGCCCCTTAGTGTCTCAGTGTCTGCCATAATGTCTCCCAGTGTCCCTTAGTGTCTCAGTGTCTGCCATGTCTCCCAATGTCCCTTAGTGTCTCAGTGTCTGCCATAATGTCTCCCAATGCCCCTTAGTGTCTCAGTGTCTGCCATAATGTCTCCCAATGCCCCTTAGTGTCTCAGTGTCTGCCATAATGTCTCCCAATGCCCCTTAGTGTCTCAGTGTCTGCCATAATGTCTCCCAATGCCCCTTAGTGTCTCAGTGTCTGCCATTATGTCTCCCAGTGTCCCTTAGTGTCTCAGTGTATGTCTCCTCGCAGCCTTTCCCCCATCCCTTACTTTCCTGAGCTGTAGGCTGTCTCTGCAGGGTGGAAGTTGCTGTCTGGACTCTCTGTAGCTGCACCCCTGCAGATCAGTGTAGGCAGGCAGGCAGGGAGGGATATGCTGGAACTTCCTATCCCTGCCTGTCTCCACACACAGCGACCCCTACTGGTCAGTGCTGGTATTGCATAGTAATCTCTTGTTTATACTGAGAAAAATACCAGCATTTGTATTGCCAGTATCACTGCAATAAAAGCCAAGTGGAATCCCTAAGAGTAGTGTGTAAAACAAAAACAAAAAAAACAAAAAAATGAATTTTTTTTAAATCAATGGGCCTATTCCATGGGCCTGGGCCTGGAGCTGCAGCTCCATCAGCCCCTATGTTAATCCGGCCCTGTTCTCACCATGTGCTTCATCCATTGTTCTCACCATGTGCCTCTGATACATGAAATGGTGGCCACCCAGTAACTCCACAGCATGTCCCCAGATAGTTCTTAAAGGGCCAGCAGCATAATAAAATACAATATGCCCAAATACTGTATTTAAAGGGCCAAATCTCACAGGGCCATAGTCGGCAGGCAGGAGGCGGGCAAACAGGCTTATCCAAAGCCCAGTGGCGAGGTTGGTTTCGCCACAGTGACACTATTAATCCTCACCTTAAAAATGAAGACTCTAAAAGAACCCTTCTCTCTCACCGAACACAATTTTCAGTAAATGTCAAATAGAAAATTCAGTATGCTGCTAGCAAACGTCAGGCATATATTGGTTTCTGATCGAACTGGCACATGAAGATGAATGCAAAATAATTCAGTTTCCATTTACAGGAAAGATTGTCATAGTTTGATCTCAGTCTCAAGCTTCCAGCTGATATTTGAACAAAAACAAAAAAGCAAGGCATTTCATGAAGAATTTGAGGTGAGATATCAAATGTGTGGAAAAAAAACTTCACTGTGACACTTTGGGTGATATTTACTTGACAAGGTAGGGAATATGCACAGAATTTACATTAGCACTCTAGACACTAGCTCTGAGCTGGTTAACGATGCCCCTTAGATGTTGCCACAGATGGAGTTAGTCCAAAGGGATTAAAGCAGTTATGGTGCTTGGAGTATCCCTTTATCATAAATATGGTGTGAAAAATCTAATTAAATGTACAAATCCACACAATCCTATAAATGCCATCCTTGAACGTAGTGCCTCCATCTTATACATATACTATTAATACAAATTAAGTATGCTTTGACACTATCAGAGAACTGGAACTCGCAAAAAGAATATATAAGGATCAGAAGAGCTCACCACTGTGCCAGCAAAGGTAACACGTTGAAATGGGAATAAACTTTATTGAAATTTTAAATATTAAAAATATTAAAAAATATCTGAACTTGATTACCCACCTACCTCACCCCCACACAGCATATCCTACTTGCAGAATGCATTTGGCAACATTTATTTTTTAAATTACAATCCTATACTTTATATAGGGTTTATAGGGTTTGGATGCATAAAGCACTTATTATAATCTGGTCACCAAATCTATCCGTCCAACTGGTGCAGATTTGGTCGGTATGCCGAATACAAACGGAGTGAGCTATAGTAAATATAAGAATTGGCATTCTGATTGTAATTCACCCTTTTCATCAGATTTTATCTGAATTGATAAAATCCTGCATTTAGCAAATAACCCTGTAGATTTTCCATGTCATCTCCAAACAATAAATTGTGTTTAGAAAATGTTTGACAACACAGTCATTAAATACACACTCTCCATGCTCAGAAATCTGAAACTGAAAATAGTTATAGTCATGTTTGTGTTCTTTAGATTCAGGTATAACTTAGAAACAAAACTTTTTTTAAAATTATTCTCAATTCACTCTATTAATATGGTCAATAATAGCACTCTTACTGTTTATGAATTACAACTCTCTATAAATTCAGAATTTTCCAAGAAAACTGGGACTAATAATAACTTGTATTTATATAGCTCCTATCTCCCTGTGGGACTCAGAGTGCTGTTCAGCACACACTCTCGTAATAAACCAAATCAGCAGCTGAATTGTAATAGATATTATTATTACCCAATTGAAGGTACTCATTTTTTCAACCTTGGAAGGATGAAAGGCTGAGTTGACCTTGCCAGGATTTGAACCTGTGACCTTGCATTTTTGAACAGGCTTTGTAGTCAGGGAATTGATCTACTGAGACACCTCACTTGCCAATAATGTTTATATTTCTACTTCTGCAGGAGTTGAAGGAGGTTGGAAACAGCCATCCAAAGATTGAAGCAGAACTTCCAGTTAATGCACTGAAGAATCGATATCCACATATTCTACCATGTGCGTAACTTTTGCATCAACAAAAGTGTATCCTGTAATTAATTGCAAATGCTTAACATTGATTAAAAGGTTACTTCAACCAACACATAGTGTTTTCATAAAACACTGGTTTTGTTAGAGTAACACTTTTTGTGTTTGTCCCCCACTCATTAAAAATAAAAAATTAAATAAAGCTAAAACTCACCTCTATCCAATGGTCAAGTGATCCCTGCAGCCAGATCCGCTACAGCTGATGTCACTCCTCCCCACTATTGGGGGTAGGAGTGCAAGTTGAGGGGAGGTCATGGGTGGCACTGAGGGATGGGATGTGCCGCCATTGGATGTCTGAAGCCAGCACACACAGCAAGCTGGTACCAAATACCAAATTTGCGCAAGATTAACATTTGCCACTTTGAATGCTTGTTCCCGGCTGTCTAATGACGCCCCAGTGGAGTTACACCTCTGGCAGCAGAGCATATAAACTTAGTATGTACAGAAATTCATAGCAAAACATTGCACATACAGACTCCAGGAACTATGGTGCTTTGAGTAACCCTTTAACAAACAGAACACTCATTGCCATGGCTGTGGTAGAAGAAGAGCCTATAGCTAGGTCTTTGAGGATCCAATAATATCTGCAAACCAGTGCATTGCATTATAATGCACCTCACAAATGTAAAAAAAAATTTGTGTGAACTAAACAGGATAACGGATAAATACGAAGTTCTACATCTGACATTCCCTGTATTATTATCAACAATCTTTACTCAACTGCAGAACTTTACAAAATACGTTTATGAAAATTAGGGCTATTCAATTAAGTGAGAATTCAAAGTGAATTTCAAATGTAAGATAAAAATACCAAAACTGGAAAAATTCTATAAGTCATAGAAACACAGAAACATAGAATGTGACGGTAGATAAGAACCATTCGGCCCATCTAGTATTCCCAATTTTCTAAATAATTTCAGTAATCAGTAATATTTTCAGTTCAGCTACTCTTAAATTTGAAATTTACTTAGAATTCCTACTTTAGTAAATAATTCCATATGTATTGTTAAAAATATATTTTGTCGGGGGACGGGGCCTGACCACTGAGAGCAGAGGACGCAAACCTGTATAGCTCCTGCTCTGACGCCCTAATTAAGTGGATTTCAGCCATCAAAACGGGACCTAATCCGCCCAAAAAGGCCACCAGGCGGAAGGTGACGGACAGGGGCACACAATCATGCCACACATGCGACAATTTCGGCATAACTCACCTGCTCTTCCTATGAAGCCCACACGCGTGGTCAGCGTGAGGGAGACGGCTGCTCCCCCGCTGACATTTATGGCTGAAAAGCAGAGACCAGACCCTCGTTCCCCCCCCTATAGACCAGTGGGGGTTATCCCGGTCCACCCTCGGGAAGCCCTGGTACAACCCGGCAAGAATGCTGAGGCGACACAGGGGCCTGCAACAAGCGGTGGCACTGCACCCAAAATGGCCGGTGCAGCGTGCTCCTCTATCACTCACAGCGAGCAGCCAGAGGTCTCGCTCAAGCTGGACAAGGCCTTCCAAGTTTTCTGGGAGAAGCTGGAAGCTCTTCTGTTCCCGATGGACCCAGAGAAAGTGCCTGAAACCCGGCCACACACTCACCCAAGCAGAGTCAAATGGGAGAAGTCACAGACACCTCAAGCACCGAGCCGCCCAGAAAGACAGAAGCAGTGGGACATTAGCAGACAGCAGGAGACCGGAGATGCATCATGGAAGCAACAGGTGCAAAACGACAGCCCCTTGGAACCGGCAAGTAATCGTGCGGATGCACATCAGCCCGCCATCCCACAAACCTGATAACGAGGGCCCATCACCAAGAGGCCAGAACTACCTGACTCACAGTCCGCTGGCGCAGACATGCACCTTACCCATACAAGGCATAGGCTGACCGGCAAAACGGGAAAGAGTATTATTCTAGTGTATTGACGATACCCACTACCCACAAGCTGATCGGACACTCACTCTACTATGCAGCTCCATCCAAGGGGGTTTATTTTTCGACAACAAGACTGTCATTCCCCACCGCACACCAAAACCCCCCTGGACTGCCCAGTTCTGCCCCTTGCCGCATTTTTCCAGTGACTCCCTGGGACATGCCACTCCATATGCCCTAACTTAATGACTAAGCCTGCCCACATACACTAAGCGGTGAACCTAATGATTTTGCCTAACACATAAATATAAAATTGTGCATGTACTTTAGAAATCCCAACTGTTACAGCTATGTATTAAACACGCTGGAGGATTGCCGTTGGGGTACCTCACGCGCATATGTTAAACTAATATGCACTACAAAAATAAAAAATGTAAAAAAAATATATATATATATTTTGTCAAGGAAGATTATCTATATCTCAAATATTTCAGGTTTCTCTTATATCTCCTCCCCAGATGATCATTCCCGGGTGAAGCTGACACTTATGAATGGAGATCTGAATTCTGGATATATCAATGCAAATTACATAGCGGTGAGAGCTACTTATTGATATAGTGTGTTTGTGTGATATCCTCGGGAATACTTGCACCTTAAATTGAGTCTTGATTAAATGCATACATTGAGCAGTGCATGCTGGGAGATAAAAGTATCCAGAGCCAGATAAGTTGCATTGGCACTATAGCTTAGACCCATACTTGTATCGAAAGAGATATCTGTCACATCTGTCTGTGTGCCTCTCTATCTTCTATCTTCATTGCTATAGTTCTTGTTGCCTCATCTTGTGCATGGCAGATCCTGCGAGTTTAGCAGGCAAATTCAGATAAAAATAGTTGGAAGGCAATGTAGTGTACATCTGGCCTGCACACCACCAGCTTTACACATGAGCCTTGTTTTTAATAATATCACACAGCTTTCTAATGGCGTAGTTTACAATTGTTATTTATGCAGGGTTTCAACAGAGCCACTGAATATATTGCCACAGGCCCCCACACCGTTGTCTATTCATGACTTCTGGCGTATGATCTGGGAACAGAAAGTGAAGAATATAGTGATGCTCACAGTATGTGAGGAGAAAGGGAAGGTATGTCATATAGCTCATCTATATTCATTTGCATGCAGTAACTCCCTTTACACCCAATGTATAAAATTGTAGTGATCAATTAAAACAGTGCAAAATTAAAGGGACTGTCCAGCCAGGGAACCAAATCTGTTTTCCTGGCACTGCAGAATCCTGTAGTGCCTCCCTCCTTCCCACCTCCCATCCCATGTTGCTGAAGGGGTTAAAACCCCTTCAGTGACTTATCTGAATTGAGCGCTGAGTCAGTGCTGGGTCAGGCTTTGGCCCACGCTCCTCCAGCGCCGACCTCAGGCAATGGCGGCGCGCGCATATTAGACCTCCCCATAGGAAAGCATTATTCAATGCTTTCCTATGGGGATTCAGGCAACGCTGGAGGTCTTCATGCAAAGCTTGAGGACATCCAGCGTCGTTTAAAACACTTTTCGTGTTTTATAAAAACTGCAATAATTACACTTGCTGGGTTAAGGGTGATGGGAGTTGGCACCCAGACCACTCCATTTGGCAGAAGTGGTCTGGGTCCCTAGAGTGTCCCTTTAACTAGGGCCACGGAATGAGGCACCTGTTACAGGGTTTTGCACCCCTCCCTGTTTGTGCTCCCCTAACTCATTCCATGGTCCTATTTAAAGGAAAACTATAATGCCAGGGGAAAAAAGCTCCCTATAATGCCCTACTCCATCATGTCCCCTCCCCTTAAAAACACTTTCTGTCACTTACCTTTTTCCAGTGCCAATATCCCTCAGCACTGGTTCAGGCTCCACCTCCTCTCGACCTCTATTTACTATGGGGATTTGGGTGATGCTGGATGCATAGCGTGAGGACGTCCAGCGTCAAGCAACGGAATTCCCTCCAGTGCCCCTTGGTAGGCAGCCACTAGAGGTGGATTTAACCCTGTAATGTAATTAATGCAATAATTACCATTGTAGTGTTAAAGGACCTAGGACACTGCATCCAGACTACTTCAATGAGCTGCTCTGGGTGCCTATAGTTTCTCCAGGCCCACCATCAGGGGGTGACAACCTTGATGTATGTATGTCTGTATGTATGCATGTATGCTTGTATGTATGTATGAATGTATGTATGTATGTATATGTATGTAGGTGTCTGTATGTTTGTGTATGTATGTCTGTATGTATGTATGCATGTATGCTTGTATGTATGTATGAATGTATGTATGTATGTGTATGTATGTCAGTATGTATGTATATGTATGTAGGTGTCTGTATGTTTGTGTATGTATGTCTGTGTGTCTGTATGTCCTTATGCATGTGTGTGTGTGTCTGTATGTATGTTAGTATATGTCTGTGTGTCACTATGTATGTCTGTGTGTCTGCATATATGAGCATTTCTGTTTCAGTATGTATGTGTCAGCATGTATGCCTATATGTGTGTTTGCCTGTTTCAGTATGTATGTGTGTGTGTGTCATTATGTGTGTATTTTTGTGTGTGTGTATCTGTGTCCTTTTGAATCAGTGCGTGTGTTTGTGTGTGTAGGATTTGGAGGCGGGCCCTGTGGGCTCTTGGAGGCGAACACCCGGAGGCCCAGAAATTTCTGATGGTGGCCCTGAGTGTCCCTTTAATCTTGCAATGCAGAGAGTCCCAGTTGGAAAGTATTGTCAGATTTGAAGTTCTATATGTTGATGCAAATATAATAAAACACTTTGAATCATCACTTTGATATATCATTTAGTATAAATTAATGGACTCTTTTGTTGGCAGATTCTGTGTGATCAGTACTGGCCGTCAGGCTCTGCTTTATATGGACCCATTACTGTATGCTGCATTAAAGAGCTTCCTGGTAAAGACTGGATCACACGCCATTTCAAACTAAATCATGTAAGGAATGCTGGCAAATGTGTTCTAGAGTTTATACATGAAGTTTATGAAATCCTGCTCTTTTTACAATTCAGAAAGACAAAATTATAGATGAGGTGTAAATGAGAGATTGGGTGCTCAGTGGTGTGTGCTTATAGAGGAGAAGGGTTACAAGCTGTTGTAGTCAATGTTTACAAAAAGTATGAGTTTTAGCAAGGTTTCAATTTTCCCAAGGAAGAGCGGGTCATTTTAGTTCAATAATCAAAACAGAGAAGTGCCATTGGGGTTCTTTTTCAATACTTATACGTATATTGTTGGCTGACCTTCACTCAATCATTCATTAGACCTGCAACATCAGAAAACAGTTATTATTTTTTATTGATACATCACTTTATTTTAATAGTTAGAAGGCTTGGAAGTTTGGCTTCAGGCCATACCTCCAAGCCCTCTGCATAGAAGAGCTGGGATTATTACTTCCCGGCTCTCATACCCAGGCATCCCATGATCCCATGCGCGCACGAGGTCATGCATTTAGACTGGAAGAAAGGAGATTTAGTCTAAGGCAAAGGAAAGGTTTTTTTACAGTATGAACAATAAGGATGCTGAACTCTCTGGTTTTATTAGAGTTTGCACAGATGTTTAAACAGCTATTGGATAAATACTTGCAAAAACACAATATTCAGGCATACCATTTTTAATTAGTGGCTTTATAGCTTAATGATTCAAGGAGATATCTGCTATTCTGGAGTGAAGACATATTTTTTTCCTAGGTCATTGCAAAACTGTATATCGTTTCAAACTGGGTTTTTTGCTTTCTTTTAGATCAATAGCAAAAACAGATGTGAGAAAGGTTGAACTTGCTGGACACATGTCTCTTTTTCAGCTATGTAACTATGTAACAAGGATAAGCCTAAAACTTACTAGGGACATGGAGACTTTAGTGCTTAAACATGCATTCTTAACATTATAGTTTCCCTTTAAGAACAAACTGTGTGTGTTTTGTTATAGGTTGCAGATTCTCAGGTGAGGCACGTATCTCATTTACATTATACACGTTGGCCTGATCGTGGTATTCCTGAATCTCCAGCGCCCCTGGTAAATTTTGTGTTGATGATGAGGAAGATGATGGAGGCTGCAAAATATTGTGGACCCACGGTATTGCACTGCAGGTAAATTGAATATCTTTTTAAACATGGGATCCTTTCACAATCCAGTGAGTCTGCACTTCAACCAGTCAATCATTCAGTGAAGAGTTTGTCTAGGCGAGCCTGGCTTATCATTCCACTAATTAATTTATGCATATTCCAACAATCTGTGGAAAAATAAGCTGTACTGATTATACACTGCCGCATTGGTCTCCTCCCATTACGGCAGCTACTTAATGTTTTGTTCAATGATCGGTGGTAGTTACTAGACTGATGTTAATCCACTCGGTGATTTACAACTATAAATGTCAAGGGGCTATAAAAAGGAGTGCTGCTAAACACTCTCAATGTGGAAATCCATTTTACAGGTTGAGTGGTTGTTGAAAGCATTTTCTGTCTCCATTGCTTGCACAAACTGCAAAAAGGCAGCACCAGCAATGGTATATCAGTGTGTATCTGTGGTAGGGATTATCTCAGTTCCTTCAATTAATAACCTACATGTAACATATTTCTTATAAATAACTCCTTTAATTTTAACTTTTATAGTTTATCATTAATGTTCCAAAAGTATAGCTCTAGACTAGTGGAATACAAGTTTTATTAGATACAAACGACTCATTCAGAATGTATAGGATCTGATTCTCAGGGTGTTTGGAAAAATGTGCTCATGAGTGTACTACGGGCACTGGTTCTTGGGACACAAAATTGAATCCTCTCAATTTTTTCAGTGGGTCTCCAATGCTTGACCAACAGGCACATCACAAAACAGTGGTTAAAACGATTTTGGCAGTATTTTGCACTTTTACTAGATATTTTTTCATATAAATTTACTTTTTTATATATTATTTTTTATAATATTATTATATATTATTTAACAAACTTAACTTTGGAAAAATCTACTACATGTATAGAATACCTCGAAGCTTCTAATAAAATACTCTAAATTGGAACTTAACTCCAGACAGACGGTCAAAATGTGTACCGAAATTGATCCTCAGATTACCAACATTCATGTGGCTCCAGGTGTATAATGGATCATATCTTCTGGACCGGTTTGATTATTCCACCCTTAAGGGATGAGGTTTTCTCCATAATTAATGTTGTTATCCATTATATTCCTTCCAAGTATGAACCTAGCTTTATTTGTTTTTGTTTTTCCTGACAAGATAAATTGGAATGTAAAGATTTTAATTTCTATCATTTTCTTATTGGCTCATTTACTCATTGCAAGGGCTTGCAATCAAATACCATCCCCTACTTTCTTATAAATTATTCCATTAATAGACCACATAGTATCTATGGAGTGCACAGCACACCTAGCTCTTGGTTCTCATACCAAATATAAAAAAGCTATTGAACCCTTACAATTTTGGAATCCCTAAGTCTTTTAAGTGATATTGTATTATACTCTGGTATACACATTACTTCATGAGAAGACTGTGTAACTATCACATGCAAGTTGTTCTGTTAATGTTAATTTGTTATACTTAACTTGACTTGTACTTTATATGACTGTATGCATGATGTAAGTGTGGCGGTACCAACCTCGCCACTGTGCACTGGAGAAGCCTGGTTGCTCGCCTGCTCCCTTTAGATTATGGCCCTGCAGTTCAGAGCTGTTATTCTCCCTGCTGAAAGGTTTATTCGTGCCTTTCTGCCAGGGTGTTCGGTAGATTCCATCTACTGAACAAACTACCGAACGATGGACCACCTGGGAGCTGGAGTGTGCTGTCAATTGACCGCCCAGAAGCTGCGGTTAACCGCAGCTTAATTGATGAACGCTGGGTGGCCGTTGTTCGTCTGCCGAACACGTGGCAGCGGCCATTTTACCTCCCGAACGGCCAGCGGTGTTCAGCGCCCAAACTATGGAACTGAAAACGGACACTTATTGGCGCGAACACCGCTGAGCCGCCAGCCTCCTTACCTTCCCATTCGGTAAGCAGAACCGAATGACTGTTCACTCGGTAGTTTCGCTGGATGAACAGCATCCCTCAGATAGCTAAGCAATGGAGCCTATTCGTGCAACGAAAGACTAGGGGAAAGACTTTGGCTCCATGGCGATTGAACTGTATGTATGTGATCTGAGCGCCATTCGGTAGTAATGTGTGCTCAGATCTAAGCTATCTGGGGATATGTAGAATGTATATGTTTTAGGTAATAAATGTGACTGTATGTAATTTGATGTCTTTTACTGTATTGTTACTGCCATGAGGTTAATGGAGTTTTGCCTCTGTCCTGGGAGATAAGTGGATTACTTCCCCAATTATCTCCAGGACAGAGAGGAGGGATTGTGATGTAATTGTGGGAGTGTTAAAGGTGTATGTCTGTGATTTGGTCCCCTAGGGGAGTGTCCACCAGGTGGGAGACCTGCATAAAAGCCGGGCAGTTAGCCCCAGTAAACCAGGTTCTACTTCACCCTCAATTTGGAGTCCTGTCTCTAATTGGGGGAATCTGCTACAAGGGATTGCAATGCTCTGCATATTCCCTTGCTTTAATCATTCCTAAATTCTTGTAAGAGCTTGTTCCTGCTTCACTTTCAAGGAAGAGAGGTTCGGCCTGCGGTGGTTGTGGTGTCGGCTAGAGTGCTTGGGGTCCTCAAGAAGCGCTAGGAGCATCCTTCAATGGAGGTACCCAGTTGGGGTGCCAGGTGATCCGTTACAATTGGTGGCAAGCGGCGGGATCGTTCCCACAGACCAGAAGGACAGCTACAAGACAACACCAGGGCTTGGATTACAGATAGAGGGATAGAGCTAGCTACCGTGCAGTGTCCCTATCTACTACAGCATGGAGCGAGCAAGACCCTGCATAGAATCCTGCGAAGGACACCTCAACCTGACACGTCCCTACGAGGGCGACGCTTACCGGGAAGAGGTAAAGAGGCGGTTGGTCTGGTATGGCCCAGACCCTTCGAACGAGGTGGTCTTCCAAGTAATGCACCAGTTGAATGCTGAGAACCTTGCGACAATGGTCTTTGAACAAAAACAGCAGCAGAGTGAGTTACAGGGAGCCAAAGGTGTCGTCCTTCCTCCCCAGCAGCCGAGTGAGTTACAGGGAGCCAAAGGTGTCGTCCCTCCTCCCCAGCAGCAGTGTGTATTACAGTGAGCTGAAGGTGTCGTCCTTCCTCCCCAGCGGCAGAGTGAGTTACAGGGAGCCAAAGGTATCGTCCTTCCTCCCCAGCGGCAGTGTGTGTCCCAGGGAGCTGAAGGTGCCGTCCTTCCTCCCCAGCGGCAGTGTGTGTCCCAGGGAGCTGAAGGTGTCTTCCTTCCTCCCCAGCGGCAGTGTGTGTCCCAGGGAGCTGAAGGTATCGTCCTTCCTCCCCAGCCCAGGCAGTGTGTGTCCCAGGGAGCTGAAGGTGTCTTCCTTCCTCCCCAGCGGCAGTGTGTGTCCCAGGGAGCTGAAGGTGTCTCCTTCCTCCCCAGCGGCAGTGTGTGTCCCAGGGAGCTGAAGGTGCGTCCTTCCTCCCCAGCGGCAGTGTGTGTCCCAGGAGCTGAAGGTGCCGTCCTTCCTCCCCAGCGGCAGTGTGTGTCAGGGAGCTGAAGGTGTCGTCCTTCCTCCCCAGGGCAGTGTGTGTCCCAGGGAGCTGAAGGTGTCTTCCTTCCTCCCCAGCGGCAGTGTGTGTCCCAGGGAGCTGAAGGTATCGTCCTTCCTCCCCAGCGGCAGTGTGTGTCCCAGGGAGCTGAAGGTGCGTCCTTCCTCCCCAGCGGCAGTGTGTGTCCCAGGGAGCTGAAGGTGTCGTCCTTCCTCCCCAGCAGCAGTGTGTGTCCCAGGGAGCTGAAGGTGTCTTCCTTCCTCCCCAGCGGCAGTGTGTGTCCCAGGGAGCTGAAGGTGCCGTCCTTCCTCCCCAGCGGCAGTGTGTGTCCCAGGGAGCTGAAGGTGTAGTCCTTCCTCCCCAGCGGCAGGGTGTCCTGCAGGGAGCAGAGAACGTCGGTCTCGCACCCCAGCAGCAGGACAAAATACTGAAAGTGGAGACGGTCGGTCCCCCTCTCCACCAGCAGAGAGAGTGTCAGGGAGAGGAGCCTGCTATCCCCTCTCCCCAGCGGCTGAAAGGATATATGGGAGAGGAGCTGGTTACCCCCTTTCCCCAGCGGCAGCTTGACATACCCAGTGGAGACAGTAAGCCCCACGGCCATGCAGATGGGACCATGGTCTCTGCACTTACAGCACAGGGGGTAGGGACAGTCGATCCTACCCCCCCAGCGACCGGGCTCTTTAGCCAAAGGGGAGACAGTCGGTCTCCCCCTCCGGCAGCAGAGCTGTGTATCCAAAGTGGAGACAGTCGGTCTCCCCCTTCAGCCACCAGGCTCCAACCAGACTACTCCCGTGGTAGTGCTGACACCAGGGGGCTTACATGTAAAGTAGATAAACTTATAAATGTATATAAACATGTTTTTTTTTTCTTCAATCAATGGATGTTTTACAAGAGATGTATAAAATAAATGAGGTAATACAACACAGTAAATTATACCTCCTTATAAAGAAGAGGTAAACTGGTGGAACAAGAGCCAAATGGAGGGAAGGGGAAAAGGGGGAAGAAAGGGATTTATGTTAAGACGATTAGAAAGACATCTCTCTCCATATTTTGTGATAGATAGGGATGAATAATACAAAATAAAATAGAAAACAACACAGTTATGGAAAATGCACGGAGACAAATAGAGGGATAAACGAAAACTGGATAAATAAGTTTAAAAGAAAAGGGATCAAAATTCACTACACACTAACATATTAGAAAGGACAAAGAATAAGAAGGTCAATAAAATTAAGCAATTTTTCTTAAGATAGATAAAAATTAACACACAATTGATTACAAAATTAAAACACATTAAGGTTATAGGATTGGGAGGTTTTTCTCTCCTGTCTTTTTTTTAGTTTTTTGTGTGTTTTGTTATTTATTATTATTATTACTTTCTTTTCTTCCTTCCCTTTTTTTTTTTTTATTTCAACCAATAGAGGTTTCACAATAGAGGTAAAACAGAAATGAGGTAATACAAAACAGCTAATTATACCTCCTTATAAAGAAGAAGAAAAAGGGTTGGAAAAGAAGCTAAAGGGAGGGAGAAAAGGGGAAAGGAAAGGATTTATGAGAAGACGATTAGAAAGACAATGAAGGAGGTGAAACCTTTATCTCTTTCTGTCCAACTCTCCCCATATATAGTGACAGACAGGGATGAATAATAGAATCTAAAATAGAAAAAGACACAGTCATGAAAACGTTGCACAGAGAAGAAAAAAGAGGGTAAAATGAAAATTCTAACACATTAATAAAAAAATTCTGAAAGAAAAGGGATAAAACTCACTATACACTAATATATTAGAAAGAACACAGAACAAGAAGGCTCAATCAAATTAAGCAATTTTTCTTTTATAGAAGATAAAGTAAGATATATAAAAATTGACACACAATAAATCACTAAATTAAGACACATTAAGGTTATAGGATTGGGAGGTTTTTCTCTCCTATTTTCTCTTTTTTTTCGTTCTCTTTCCTTTTATATTTTGTGGCTTGTTGTCTATACATTTGCACTGAGAAAATTGATATATGGAAATACTTGCTAATAAGTAAGGATAATAAGGCATATGGATTAAGTAGATGGAAGAGGGAAAAGGAAGAAAGGAAAAAGTAATAGGGAAGAGGTTTAAGGTTATTAAAAATGATACATATTTTGACAATAGGACATGTGAAACTGCCTAATTTATATTTGTAATATTTTAACTGTATTATAATTTTTTTTTATTTACCTCTCCCCCCCTTCTTTTATAATTGTAACCCTACCCTCTTCGGGCTCTAGATAAAAAGCGGCCTGCCGGTCTAAGGCTAGAGTAAAAATCTCAAATAACTTTATATACTTTGGTTAGGTATAGTTTTGTTTTCACATCTGGGGATATAGGATGTGGAACTCTGTCCCCTACATGGGTGGTTGGAGATGGATTTTCTCATGTGTTTTTTTACATGAGGTTATATGTTTTTAAATGTTGTATAGTCTATGTATATGTTTTTGTAAGAATGTGCCAAGGAAATGTCATACATAAATGTAGGTTGATATTCAATGGTTAAAATTTTGATGCTTAATGCTCAGGGGCTAAATAACCCACATAACAGATCTGTGGTATATGATTATATCAAACAAGGAGCTAAAATTATATTTTTGCAAGAAAAAAGATATAAAACGCTTTATGATTTATCCCAAACCGATTTATTATTACATTATGTTCCTCATTAGAGTATAAAAAGAAATGTGGAGTTGCTCTTTTAATAACGAATGATATGGATATACAGATTACTTATCAAGATATATATAAAAACGGAAGGTACATTATACTAATATGTAAAATACAAAATCAAGAGTTTACACTCCTTAACCCCTATGCACCTAACGTTAACACCACTAGTTTCTTACAAAAGATATTCTACAAAATAGATAGTATCAGAGGAGACTTCAATTGGACAGAAATTCAGTGGGAGGCACTCCCCAACATAGGAAAGGCAAACATATGACAAATCAATTTAACTCGAAATTACACAAATATGCTCTATTACACCTATGGAGGATTCCCCATCCTCAAGAGACAGATTTCACCTGGTTCTCTAAAGTACATTATACGTATTCTAGGCTAGATTTATTTTTGAGCAATACAGAGAACATACAAGACTAAGAAGATACTAATTCAGGAGGTCACTTGGTCAGACCATAACCCGGTCATTTTAGACCTTAAATAAGCCCTGTAAATAAGAAATAGTTGGAGGTTAAATGACCTTCTTAAAAAAAACACCTCAGGATATAGAGAACATAAAAGAAATAACAAAACATTTTTTCAAAGATAACAAAAATAAAGGTATATGTGATACAGTAGTATTGTGTGCATACAAAGCAGTCTTGAGGGGGCACCTTATAAAAATTGGCTCAATTATAAACAGAAATAGTGGTTCTTCTTTGACAGAATTATATTTATCCTTATATGAAATAACAAAATCTAACAACAGTAACCCCTCTGTAGATACAAGTGGAAAAATAGCAAATATAAAGGAAAGAATTAACAAAATACTACTGCAGAAAACTATTAAAAAAACTAGAATCCTTAAAAATAAAATGTTATTACAGAGGTAATCGGGCAAATAATATGCTCACAAATAAAGTTAAAGGGAAAAAATTGACCTCTGTGGTACAGAGAATTATCACAGAATAAGGATTACAATTAGTGATGTCGCGAACCGTTCGCGAATTTGCCGCGAACGGTTCGCCACGGTTTGCCACGAACCGTTCGTGGCGAACTCTGGTCAGCTGACACATCCCTGCCAATCTCCGGCAGACCCTCCCTCCCAGACCCTCCTCCTTCCTGGACAGCATCCATGTTGAAGGCATTTGTGTATGTCAGAATATATGTATGTAATAATACGCAACTTGAAATGATTTATACTTATTTCTGATACAATAATCAATAAATAAATCAATTTTAAAAAAACAATTCTACCCTGTAAAAAGGAAATTCTTGCCATACAAAGATTGATAAGTCAAGGGTACAAGCTAATCTAAATTTAGAATTTTCAGAAATAAGGGGAGATTTATCAAGATGAAAGATATGCTATATTGGTGCAAAGTGCTAAATGTTGACAGACAAATTATAGGTTTCCATGGTGATTGCTCCTCATTTTGGGACCATGCCATATAATAGTACATGTTTTGCCTTGATAAATCTCCTCCTCGTTTTTGTTGTTCTGTCTGTGCACAAATGTACATTTACATCTACATTTGTCTTCATCTTCTGTCTTTTAAACAAATCCCTCCTAGTGCTGGTGTTGGGCGCACTGGAACACTCATAGCTCTGGATGTGGCACTGCAGCAGATGAGAGCTGAAAGCTGTGTTGACGTATTTAGCACTGTGTATCAAATGCGACTCAGCAGGTACCTGATGGTGCAGACAGTGGTAAGTGTCAAGACTTACAAGGGGTTATCGCTACCATCCCCATGGCAATTTATAAATGAAATGCCTTTAGTTCTCCCAAATAAATTAAAAGAACACCCAAACACAAGCTAGCAAAATATTTATGCAATCAAAAATACTACTAAATAGGTCTCTTCAGTTAACAAATTCTTTACCAAACAAAAGGCAGAACTTAATGAAGAAATATTTATTATGAACAAAATAGTCACAGTGTATACATAAACATTGATGATAAACAAATGATTTAAACCAACAAACAATTAAAAATAAAAAGGAGAAATTAATAGAAAATACTAGTTTCTCACTTTGCAAGTACAGGAAGTAATTCCTGTTCCCGGGGGCTCAAGCAAGGAAAATGACAACTTACTCAAAATTGAATCTTGTCCTCTAAAAAGCACATGGATCATTTTAAAGTCACAGCTTTTTTTTTTTAATTGGAAAAAATAAATGTACATTGAACAAAATTATAAACGCAACACTTGTTTTTTCCCCCATTTTTAATAAGCTGAACTCAAAGATCTAAGACTTTTTCGATGTACACAAAAGGCCTATTTCTCTCAAATATTGTTCACAAATCTGTCTAAATCTGTGTTATTGAGCACTTGTTCTTTGCCGAGATAATCCATCCACCTCACAGGTGTGGCATATCAAGATGCTGATTAGTTTGTGAAGATTCAAGATGGGTCTCTATTCTCCTGATGCCTTCCGGGTCAAACAAATTCTTAAGTGGTAACCTAATTCTTTATTTCCATGAGGAATAGGGCAGGTTACTTATTTTGTCAAGAATGAGGTTGTGAAGAGATGAATAGCATTTGCCTTTTTTAGATCTAGAGGATTCTGGATTGTTAGAAACCGGGCATAAAGGATGGAAGAGAATTCCAAAAATAGCCTTTGCTTAGAATTTTTCAAACCCATTTGTCAATGATCAAGTGGGCCCATCCAGGACAATTGAGAACATCCAGGATTATTGCACAGGTGTGCCTTAGGCTGGCCACAATAAAAGGCCACTCCAAAATGTGCAGTTTTACTGTATTGGAGGGTTCCTGAGGGGGAGGGATGGGCTGAGTGAAGTTGCAGGATATTGGCAGGACCTGCAACACGCTGTTGTATACTCCGATCCAGAGCATCCCAAACATGCTCGTTGAGTATGCTGGCCATGCAAGAATTGGGATGTTTTCAGCTTACAGGAATTGTGTACAGATCTTTGCAACATGGGGCCGTGCATTATCATGCTGCAACATGAGTTGATGGTCGTGGATGAATGGCACAACAATGGGCCTCAGGATCTCATCACGGTATCTCTGTGCATTCAAAATGCCATCAATAAAATGCCCCTGTGTTCATTGTCCATAACATAAGCCTCCCCATACCATAACCCCGCCACCACCATGGGCCACTCCATCCACAACAATCAGCAAACTGCTCATCCACATGACACCATACACACTGTCTGCCATCTGCCCTGTACAATGAAAACCAGGATTCATCCATGAAGAGAACACCTCTCTAAAGTGCCAGACATCATCAAATGTGAGCATTTGCCCACTCAAGTCGGTTATGACGATGAACTGCATTCATGTCGAGACTCCGATGAGGACGACGAGCAAGCAGATGAGCTTCCCTGAGACAGTTTCTGACAGTTTGTGCAGAAATTCTTTGGTTATGCACACCAATTGTTGCAGCAGCTGTCTGGGTGGCTGGTCTCAGACGATCTTGGAGGTGAAGATGCTGGATGTGGAGGTCCTGGGCTGATGTGGTTACACGTGGTCTGTGGTTGTGAGGCCAGTTGGATGTACTGCCAAATTCTCTGAAACGCCTTTGGAGACAGTTTATTGTAGAGAAATGAACATACAATTCACGGGCAACAGCTCTGGTGGAAATTCTTGCAGTCAGCGTGCCAATTGCATGCTCCCTCAAAACTTGCGACATCTGTGGCATTGTGCTTTGTGATAAAACTGCACATTTTAGAGTGGCCTTTTATTGTGGCCAGCCTAAGGCACACCTTTGCAATAATCATGCTGTCTAATCAGCATCTTGATATGCCACACCTGTGAGGTGGATGGATTATCTCGGCAAAGGAGAAGTGCTCACTAATACAGACTTAGACAGATTTGTGAACAATATTTGAGAAAAATAGGCCTTTTGTGTACAAAGAAAAAGTCTTAGATCATGAAAAATGGGGCAAAAACAAGTGTTGCGTTTATAATTTTTTGTTCAGTGTAGTCAGGGCCGGCGTAGGGGTGTGCGAGCTGTGCGGCCGCACAGGGCGCCGTGGAGCAGTGGGGGCCATGTGGCTGACACAGCTCACACATGGCCGGCTAAACGGGTGGAGGATTTCATTATTCTCCACCCGGGCTTAGAAAAAAACTCCCAGCATTGCGGTGGGGGCGGGGCTTACCTTGTGGCGGGGGCAGAGCTAAAATGACGGCTGCATGGGAAGCAGGAAGGAGTCCCTGCTTCCCCAACAACCAGACCCCAGGAGCTGCACTGCCTCCCCTTTTCCCAGACCGTAAAGGACAGAGGTAACCATGTATGACTGTCTGTTTGTGAGTGTGTGTGAGTATGTGCAACTGTCTGCCTTTGTGTGTGTGAGTACTTGTGTGTGTGGCTGTCTGCCTGTGTGTGTGTGTGTGGCTGTCTGCCTGTGTGTGTGTGTGTGTGTAGCTGTCTGCCTGTGTGTGTGCGTATGACTGTCTGCCTGTGTGTGAGTACCTGTGTGTATGGCTGTCTGCCTGTGTGGCTGTCTGCCTGTGTGTGTGTGTGTGCGCCTGTGTGACTGTCTGCCTGTGTGTGTGTGGCTGTCTGCCTCTGTCTGTGTGAGTACCTGTGTGTGGCTGTCTGCCTCTGTCTGTGTGTGTTTGAATACCTGCCTCTGTGTGTGTGACTGTCTGTGTGTGAAGCTGTCTGTGTGTGTGTGTGTGTGTGTGTGTGTGTGTGACTGTCTGCCTCTGTGTATGTGACTGTCTGCATGTAACTGTGTGTGTGTGTGTGTGTGAGACTGTATGTGTGGCTGTATGTATGTGACTGTCTGTCTGTACCTGTGTGTGTTTGTCATTGTCTGCCTGTAACTGTGTGTGTACATGTGTGTTACTGTCTGATTGTAATTGTGTGTGCGTGTGACTGTCTGCCTGTAACTGTGTGTGTGACTGTATGTAACTGTGTGTTACTGACTGTATGTAACTGTGTGTTACTGTCTGCCTGTAACTGTGTGAGTGTGTTTATCTGCCTGTAACTGTTTGTTTCTGCCTGATCCTGTGTATTTGACAGTATCTATGTATAGCTGTGTGCATCTGACTGTGGAACTGTGTGCATGTGACTCTGCAGTCTGACACATCTGGCATGCACTTCTGTTGACTGTAGACCATAAGTAGCTGTCTTCCTAGCTCCGGCCAATCAAATTACTGCCGCAGATTACCACAGGACACTGCAAGTCCCTGAGCTTGCGAGACAGTTACCAATGGTCTGCACCCAGATCAGCATTCCCCTCTCCCAACTAGGTAACAACAGGAAATGAGGAATTAATATTTGTTTTTAAATCATTATTTATTTAATACACTATAAAAAGAATGATGGGGGGGGGGGGGCACTGCGAAAAAGATTCGCACAGGGCGCCTAAGGGCCTAAGTCCGGCCCTGAGTGTAGTTACAATTTATCTCGTACAATTTCAATATGGACAAGGAATTGCAAAAACATATACACATGCAGACATATATACATATCTTGTAATATTAATGCTAGTAATTTAGTGTTTATTGTATCTCCATCTGTACATCAGATATTACTTAAATATTCGTTTGTCTCTTTTATAAGCAGACTTATATCATAGACAATTACTAACAAAAAAAGAATCACAAATTGTGCTGAAAGAAAAGTAAAATCTAGAAAATGATCAAGGCGGTCCTAAGAAGTCATTAATTGTTCCCTAGTTTTGTGACCCATATATGTTTTATACCCTCTGTGCCCATTTCGAGTTTCCAAGTCAAAGTTACTGTAAGAACTCTATATTGATTACACCTTCCCTCTCACCTTAAACACCAATCTATATAATAGAGCTTATTTAAAAATGTTTTAATCTCTTGCTGTACACCTAGCACAGAAATGATTTTTACATCTGTCACAATTTATCTTTTCCAAAGACGTCTTATTAGACTCATCTGCAACTAAGAACTCCCACAAATGGCTTAAGGTGCAAGGGCCATATTTTTACTTCTTTTGTAAGGAACACCTTCAGCATTCTGAATATGTATAGCAGAATGCATCATAATTAGAGATGTCGCGAACGGTTCGCCACGGTTCGCGGCAAACTCCGGTCAGCTGACACATCCCAGCCAATCTCCAGCAGACCCTCCCTCCCAGACCCTCCTACTTCCTGGACAGCATCCATGTTGAAGGCAGCTTCAACATGGATGCTGTCCAGGAGGTGGGAGGGTCTGGGAGGGAGGGTCTGCCGGAGATTGGCAGGGATGTGTCAGCTGACCGGAGTTCGCCACGAACGGTTCGTGGCGAACCGTTCGCGAGAAATTCGCTGATGGTTCGCGACATCTCTAATCATAATTCGTCTCAGGATGATTATTCATTTATTTTGAATATGGCTCTAAGCAGAGAATTGTTTCCTGACGGCAAACTGTCGATTAGCATTTCAAATAAAAACCAAAATGTGCTTAGTTAGTAAGTTTGCGAAAAAGTACATATAAATGCCCTTTGGGTTCAATATTTTACACCTGGCCAAAGGGACAGAGCTGGATGTTTGGCCTCATATGAAAGAATCAAATTTTCAGCTTTTTCTGTGATCTGATACATAGCACATAGCAGCCAAAATAAAGAGACACTCCAGGCATCAAAACAACTTCATCTAAATGAAGTTGTTATGGTGCCAGGAGGCCCCTGTTGGCCCTTTTGAAGTTGTTATGGTTCCAGGAGGCCCCTGTTGGCACTCTTACCTCAACCGTTTAACCCCAACAGGGTTAACCCGAACAGTTTAACCACAAAGTTGCCTCCAGTAGGGATGTCCATTCTCCCTCAGGAGGCATCCAGCTTCTGCATTTTTAGATTCAGGAATTGTGGAGTGCTGCTGGACTCTCAGACCATCAGTGACTACACATTTACTAAACTGGCTTGGATCAGCAGCTTCACTGCCCTAGAGCACTCAACACTTCCTGAATCTGAAAATTCAGAAGCCAGATGCTGCCTGGGGGAAGTGGACAATGCTGGAGAAATGGACAATGCTCCTGGAGGCAACCGAGAATGGTTTAACCCCTTGAGGTAAGAGTGTCTCCGGAGACCTCATGGGGGTTAAACCGTTCTCGGTTGCCTCCAGGAGTATTGTCTACTTACCCCAGGTGGCAATTAAGTTGTTTTGGTGCCTGGAGTGTCCCATTAACCCTGATAATACACACATATAAGCATGCTAGACTAATATTACATCTTGGTTTGTAGGAGCAATATATTTTTGTGCATCGCTGTATTCTTGAAAAGATAATGCAAGAGAAGGAATATAGCAACCACAAATGTAAGTAACAAAGTAAGTGAGTAATAAATTCTAAACTTGATGGACGCATGTCTCTTTTCAGCTATGTAACTGCAACTAAGTAGCAAACCTTACAATTAGATAATTTGTTACCTAAAACTGCATTGCTTTTATATTGTATTCAAAAAGATTATAAGAGATACTGAGATAACTGTAGATAATAAGGGGAATATATGCGGTTGGGAAGAGAAAATCAGGGGGGCTGGGGAGAGATCATTGGGGATAATTTATAATTGTGGTAACTACAGAATTCTACATGTATGTTTTTGTATGCTATTGATGGAGAATACATTGTTTTACCTATGCAATGCTTAGTGAATATTCCCCTAGACATACAGAGCTATATATAATATATATTAATATTATGTTACAGAGTGTCAGTCTCATGTCCTGCTTTCTACTTCTGTATTTTTTATTACTAGCTAAAAGTATATACACTATACATGGCTTGAAAGACTGAATGGTCAGTAGGCCTGATTTTAATACAAGATACTAATGCTTTGAAAGGGTTAAATTCGCATTCTTTAAACATACCATATTTTTCTGTTCTGATGCCTGACACTAGTTTCCACTATCTTTTATAAACATCCTGCCGTTGTAAAAAATAACATACTCTCTAAGCACCTGAAAATTTTAATTGGGTTCCTAAATCAAAGACTGTCATGTACATCAGTTAACAGAAGATGTGAATTTAAAAACATATTTTACCCCTGTATCTAAAAATACCTGGACAGGTCTTCCTCTATGGTTTGTTGGTGGGAGGGGGTGCGAGGGAATAGAGGTGAAGCTATTAATTTAAGTCCCACGGGTGTAATTAGTACATCTGGATATACCTTGCCTAACTCTCACCTGCAGTACCAGAGAAAAGGGGACTAGTGATGTACCGAACGGTTCGCTGGCGAACGGTTCCTGGCGAACATAGCATGTTCGCGTTCGCCACGGTGGGCGAACATATGCGCGGTTCGACCCGCCCCCTATTCGTCATCATTGAGTAAACTTTGACCCTGTACCTCACAGTCAGCAGACACATTCCAGCCAATTAGCAGCACAGCCTCCCTAGCAGACCCTCCCACCTACTGGACAGCATCCATTTTAGATTCATTCTCAAGCTGCATGCTTAGTAAGAGGAGGGAAAGTGTAGCTGCTGTTCATAAGATAGGGAAAAGCATAGCTAGGTTAGGGATAAGGGTATGCTTTTTTTAATTTTTTTTTTCTATGTAATGTAAATGCACTTAGTTGTCTGCCACTGCTGCCAGCTTCTGTGTCAGGCTCACAGTGCCCATTTCCCCAGTCAGTGCCACCAATTACATCTGGTGTCACAATAGCTTGGATTTAAAAACAAAAAACTTTTTTCACTGTTATAGATTGAATAGCAGTCAGTTGTCTGCCACTGCTGCCAGCTTCTGTGTCAGGCTCACAGTGCATACTGTGCCATTTCCCCAGTCAGTGCCACCAATTACATCTGGTGTCACAATAGCTTGGATTTAAAAACAAAAAACTTTTTTCACTGTTATAGATTGAATAGCAGTCAGTTGTCTGCCACTGCTGCCAGCTTCTGTGTCAGGCTCACAGTGCATACTGTGCCCATTTCCCCAGTCAGTGCCACCAATTACATCTGGTGTCACAATAGCTTGGATTTAAAAACAAAAAACTTTTTTTTACTGTTATAGATTGAATAGCAGTCAGTGTCCTTAAAGCGGGTGTGTTAAGCTAACAGTGGATACGCTGACCAGTGCCACTAATTAGATCTGGTGTCACAATAGTTTGGATTTAAAAAAAAAATAATCTTTTTTCACTGTTATAGATTGAATAGCAGTCAGTGTGTCCTTAAAGCGGGTGTGTTACGCTAACAGTGGATACGCTGACCAGTGCCACTAATTAGATCTGGTGTCACAATAGCTTGGATTTAAAAAAAAAATAATCTTTTTTCACTGTTATAGATTGAATAGCAGTCAGTGTCCTTAAAGCGGGTGTGTTACGCTAACAGTGGATAAGCTGACCAGTGCCACTAATTAGATCTGGTGTCACAATAGCTTGGATTTAAAAAAACAAAACACTTTTTTCACTGTTATAGATTGAATAGCAGTCAGTGTCCTTAAAGCGGGTGTGTTACGCTAACAGTGGATACGCTGACAAGTGCCACCAATTAGATCTGGTGACACAAAGCTTGGATTTAAAAAAACAAAACACTTTTTCACTGTTATAGATTGAATAGCAGTCAGTGTCCTTAAAGCGGGTGTGTTAGCTAACAGTGGATACGGTGACCAGTGCCACCACTTAGATCTGGTGTCACAATAGCTTGGATTTAAAAAAACCCCACTTTTTTCACTGTTATAGATTGAATAGCAGTCAGTGTCCTTAAAGCGGGTGTGTTACGCTAACAGTGGATACGCTGACCAGTGCCACTATTTAGATCTGGTGTCACAATAGTTTGGATTTAAAAAAAAAATTATCTTTTTTCACTGTTATAGATTGAATAGCAGTCAGTGTCCTTAAAGCGGGTGTGTTACGCTAACAGTGGATACGCTGACAAGTGCCACTAATTAGATCATGTGTCACAATAACTTGGATTTAAAAA